TTCTCTTTGATACGACATTAAGCTATGTCTTATTCGTTTGCGTAAATAAAATAAAATTATTTTATTGTTGTAAATTGAAACTTTTGCCAAAAATCCGAACTACCAGAGTCAGTTGATAAATTTATAATTTTGACAAGTCACGTGTAATTTTCATATCATAAATCATGACTCAGTTGTTGTTATTATAACTAATGTAAAAAGTACTCTAAAGAAATAACATGTCATTTTAAAATCGGAATCGGTGTGCACGATCAATAAAAAAAAAATTTATACTAAAAAATTTATACTAAAATAAGATACAATAAATAGAATTTAATTATGCTTTATTTATAAAAAAAGGAGTGCGCATATAAGTTCGTCCCTTAAGAGATTGCAAGAAAACGTGACTCAAATTACTCGCTCTCAAAAAGATTGACCCTAACGGAAATACCATCCATTATCTTCAAGAATATATAAGTTATTTAAAATGACAAATTAGACGATGTAGTAAGGAATCTCATATCAATCTTTTAAACTAAGAAATACAACGAACCCAAATTCTTGAAGAGAAATTAAGACAGAGTGAGATTACAATTGAAAACGCTAATCAAGAGTTAGACAAATTACGGGAAGAAGTAAAATTGCTTAAAGGAATTATCGAACAAAAAGACAAAACTATAAACACTTTACAAACCGAGAACGAAACCCTACGAAGTACAAATGAAGAAACTCAAGCCACGAATATTCAACTTGCTGCTGAAGTTGAACATATTCGTAATAGAAATATTAATCTCCGCCAAGAACGCCATGTAAATTGCAACAATTTTATTGGAAGCCAACAAGAACACATAGAAGACTTGCAAAGATCAATAAGGGTAAAAGAAGAATCAGACCATGTTTTTTGTAATCAGAGAATAAATCGTTTAGAAAATAGAATATCCTACTTTGAGGATCGGGAAAGACAGCGCGAACACGAAATTGAACTTTCTCCATATTTTCCTAGAAGTGATGCTTTCCTCGGTGAACAAGAGTTTTATCAACAATTTAATCATTAAATACAGAATAATGTATTACATATTATTCATAGATACATCAATAAATGTATTACATATTATTCATAGATACATCAATAAATGATTAATTTTTTTGAAAATTCACTTTAAAATAATTTTATTATGATATTTTTTTTTTGTGTTTAATAGTTTTTAGTAGTTATCACAGTAAAAACATTTTGAGTTCGAATAACGAATAACTTTGATAATTTAACAGGTAACCGAAAATTCAATAAAATCAAAGGGTTCGTTGTGAAAGCTCCAATCGAACTATTTAAACATTTAAAGATTAAATAATATTTTAATATTTTAAAATCTATAATAGCTTTATTATCACTTGAAACTTTGACAAGTAAAAAACAACTCTTATCAGAATATTAGAACTCATCATATAAGAGCTAACACACATGATTAGTGGACCAACAGTCAAACACCAATCACTAGTAGACTAACCCATCAGAATTTTTTTATTCGCATCAAAGAGAACGGATAACGATCAAACATACTCTATTTGGGCAGACTACCTACAAATTGGATGGAATGGCCAAAATGATGGCCATTCCATATTTACTTTTCTCGAAAAAAAGAAAAAATATCATTAGTAACCACATAATATATTATATTTAAAACATCAAATTAAATTCACTTTCCTATTTACAATTCACGCTTTAATAATTTTATGTCGATTTTCGAAATAATTTGGAACGACCAAAATGACTTTCTCAAAAAAGATTAGTTACCACAATATATATTATAAATCAGATTCATAATAATTTCTTATCAGAATATTGATATCATAGTACTGTACATCTTTCTCATCGAGAAAAAAATCATCATTTAAGAGGCAAAGACCTAGAGAATTGTAGACTATATTGTAATATCAACAAGAGAACATTTTTGTTGTACGTTATTCTTTTTGATAGGCTTATTTAAAGGTTTTAAGTAGGAGATGTGAAAATGAGTATATGACGAATAATAATGTAAAATTTAACCTAGCAACAGCTAACTTCCCTTGGATGATAACATTCTAGTGAAGGCATATTTGGAGTATATTTCTTAATTCTTTATTGATTGTATATAAAATAATTTTGCATTGATTAATTGTACGTTATGTCCACTTGTAATTTGAAAAAAATGAACGTAGATAGAATCCTGGCAAGTTAGACCTATTTATATGAACAAATAATAAACAAATAATATAATTTTAACTTCTCTTGCATTATCGAAAAAACATATTCAACTCCTTGTGTACTATAGCCTTTTAGTGAAGACATTTTCTGAATAATTTATCTATGTGGCCTCCCCTAAAAATATAGAAAATTATTCGATTATATGAAACAAGAGAACAAAAGAAATAAAAATGAATATTAAGAATCCTGAAAGTCAATCCGATTTAATGTTAATTTATAGGGCTCGATCGGTCCGCAAAAGACCCAGTTGGAAATGACCGTTAAAACTTGACCTCGACTAAGTTTTGTAAGACAAGAAAAGATGAGCCACGACTAGAGGTGCGATCCGAAACAGGTTTTCTTCTTAAATTTTATACACTGATGTCACGCAAGCATGGGGTGTGATGTTAATCATCACAAGGAAATCACTAATTACATGTGATGTTTTACCAATTATTGTCATGTGATGATTTAGGGTGCCATGTGATGATTTTCCGCATGCATGACTCCTTTCTAAATCTATTATCTTCCTAATTGGTAAAATTTCCAAAAGTACGAGATATAATAAGTAAATTTCTTTGAGGTAGTGTGATGAAACAAACATTTACACAAATAAGCCGAATCCCGATTGGTGTGGTTTTTCCAAAGTACGATATTTGAAATTTTATCAATCATCCCTTTGTTTGAATATGCATGATGACTCTTTTCTAAACCCGTATCTTCCTGATTGGCAAAATTTTTCCAAAGTATGAGATATAATAAGTAAATTTCTTTGAGTAGTATGAAACATTTACACAGATAAGCCGAACCCTGATTGGTGTAGTTTTTCCAAAGTACGATATTTGAAATTTTATCAATCATCCCTTTGTTTTAATATGCATGCATGACTCCTTTCTAAACCCGTATCTTCCTGATTGGCAAAATTTTCCCAAAGTACGAGATATAATAAGTAAATTTATTTGAGTAGTGTGATGAAACAAACATTTATACAGATAAACCAAAGCCCGATTGGTGTGGTTTTTCCAAAGTATGAGATTTGAAATTTTATCAATCATCTCTTTGTTTGAATATGCATGCATGACTCTTTTCTAAACCCGTATCTTCCTGATTGGCAAAATTTTCCCAAAGTACGAGATATAATAAGTAAATTTCTTTGAGTAGTATAAAACATTTACACAGATAAGCCGAACCCCGATTGGTGTAGTTTTTCCAAAGTATGAGATTTGAAATTTTATCAATCATCCCTTTGTTTGAATATGCATGCATGACTTCTTTCTAAACCCGTATCTTCCTAATTGGCAAAATTTTTCCAAAGTACAAGATATAATAAGTAAATTTCTTTGAGGTAGTGTGAAACATTTACACAGATATGCCGAACCCGATTGGTGTGGTTTTTCCAAAGTATGAGATTTGAATATTATCAATCATCCCTTTGTTTGAATATGCATGCATGACTCCTTTCTAAACCCGTATCTTCCTGATTGGCAAAATTTTCCCAAAGTACGAGATATAATAAGTAAATTTCTTTGAAGTAGTGTGAAACATTTACACAGATAAGCAGAATCCCGATTGGTGTGGTTTTTCCAAAGTACAGATTTGAAATTTTATCAATCATCCCTTTGTTTGAATATGTATGCATAACTCTTTTCTAAACCTGTATCTTCCTGATTAGCAAAATTTTCCCAAAGTACGAGATATAATAAGTAAATTTCTTTGAGGTAGTGTGATATTTATACAGATAAGCCAAACCCCGATTGGTGTGGTTTTTCCAACGTACAAGATTTAAAATTTTATCAATCATCCCTTTGTTTGAATATGCATGCATGACTCCTTTCTAAACCTGTATCTTCCTGATTAGCAAAATTTTCCCAAAGTATGAGATATAATAAGTAAATTTCTTTTAGGTAGTGTGATGAAATAAACATTTACACAGGTAAGCCTAACCCCGATTGGTATGATTTCTCTTTGTTTTAATATGCATGCATGACTATTTTCTAAAACCGTGTCTTTCTGATTGGCAAAATTTTCCCAAAGTACGAGATATAATAAGTAAATTTCTTTGAGTAGTGTGATGAAACAAACATTTACACAGATAAGCAGAATCCCGATTGGTGTGGTTTTTTCAAAGTACGAGATTTGAAATTTTATCAATCACCCCTTTGTTTGAATATGCATGCATGACTCCTTTCTAAACCTGTATCTTCCTGATTGGCAAAATTTTCCCAAAGTACGAGATATAATAAGTAAATTTCTTTGAGGTAGTGTGATGAAATAAACATTTACACAGATAAGCCAAACCCCGATTGGTGTGATTTTTCCAACGTACGAGATTTGAATTTTTATCAAGCATCCCTTTGTTTGAATATGCATGCATGACTCCTTTCTAAACCCGTATCTTCCTGATTGGCAAAATTTTCCCAAAGTACGAGATATAATAAGTAAATTT